CAAGCAGGAACGGGGACCGGGCCAGGCACAGGGGGAGGCCCTGGGCGGGGGGCCTGGACCTGGGGTCTTGCAATGCTTTTCTTCGCTAGACGTCAATGTACCATTCCGAAGTGGTACCAAGGCCAGCGTCGGCACCAGGAACAATGCCAGGAACCAGCAGCACTATCGCATCATTCCTCCCTCTCCTTCATCCACTCTCCTCCCTCCCCCCCGATTTTTGGACCTTGTCTCCGTTGTTGACGCTTTGCCGCCACGCCTGGCACTGAAGAGAGACACTGGACTCACTCTGCTCTTACACTGGGCGGCATCCACCGCCTAAGCGGCCGCAATCCACCGTCATCCACATCCACATCCACGACCACGCTTCAACCCATCCGCGTTCTCTCTTCTCATCTCGCAAACGCGCCCGAGAGCCCTAAGCCAACTGGTCTGCAAGTGGCAGTCTTCCTGCCTTGCCTGCCTGGCCATCCGTAGTCAGTCGAGAGTTTGCGGGCACTGATGTTGATTAACAGCCCACTCTGCGTTGGGATGCTCTCTGCGCAAGAACCTACTTTGCAATTGCCATGTCGAAAGCATCATTCAAGAAATTCAATTTCGACGAGGGCAAAAAAAAAAAGGAAGAAGAAGAAGAAGAAGAAGAAGAGAGGCCAACGAAAGCCGTCATCGTCTCCCAGGCCAAAACCGCATGTACCCTGGTTCGTCGACTCAACCTCACTACCACCACCAGAGACCAAAGAAAACAACCAAAAAAACAAAAATTCAAGGGAAAGACGAGTGCAAGGTACCATGCTCGGTTCCCAGGCCCTTGCCGCATCTCGTTCCTCCCCTGCCTCTGCCCGCTAAACCGTTGCCGTTGTCTCTCGTCTTACTCTCCTAGTGGCGCCGCCGTGTGCTGTAGAGCAAGTACTGTGGGAGGTACCCTGCCTGCAATCTGTCTCCCGTGTCCGCGTGCGCCGCCGCCGTGTGTACCTTTCCTGTCTCGTCTTTCTCGCGCGCTCTCTCGCTCTGTCTCTCTCTCTCTCTCTCTCTCTCATCCTAGTCCCGCCTCTTTCACTTTCCACTCTCTCTTTCACACACACACACACACTCTCTCTCTCTAGGTACTATGTAACTCTCATCTTCCGCAATCCCATCCACTCGTTCCACTCACCCCCCTTCTGGTGGGGCCCGCCGTCCACGACCCAATCCCAGATTGCCCACTTCTGCGATCCCAATCAAGCCCCCCAGTCCAGTCCAGGTCTCCGTCCCCATCCCACCACCACCACCACCACCACCACCACTGTTCTGGCTGCTAGCCCACTTTCACTCGCCCGCTCTCTTTCTCTTGCTCTCTTGTCTTCCATCCACGCTACACCTTACCCGACCTGACCTGGCTGGGGTCAATGCTGTTATGGGTGAACGTGTGGACATGTGGATGGGGACCATCTCTCTTCCAGGTCTCTTTCCCCGCCAGTCCAGTCCAATTCGGTCCAGGTCAGGTACACGCAGCAAGGTACCTCCCCTAGCCCTGCTTCCCTCGCCTTCCTCGCTCCTCCTCTTCTTCCTCCTTGTCGTCGCCCACACCCCCCCCCTTTTGCTTTTTTCCCTTAAACACCCTCCCCCCTCGTCCACTGCTCTGCATCTCTGCCTACCTTCCTTGCCCTCCTCCCTAAACCGCCCGTGGTCCATCCAGGCAGTCCGTCAGTCAGTCCAAGTCGACTTTGTTCCTCTGTGCCCTCGCCCGCCCATCCGCTGCCACCTTTTGGCTCACTCCCACGACGCCCACGCCCACGCGCTGCTACCATACCTTAGTACCTCACTGCCGCTGCCGCTGGTCTTACTCCCACTCCTGTACGTCCAGTCCATACTCCTCTCCTCTTCCCACCCAAGGCACCACCACCGCACCAGCACCCGCACCCGCACCCGCGCGCACCACTCCGCCTGTCCTTGCTTGAGCCTGTCTTGTCCTGCTGGGAACCCGACCATCTCTCTTCCTCCCTTTTTCACCCCGTCCAAAATCATTAAACCCCCAGACCATCCTCCCCTTCCCGAGCTCTTCTGATATCTCTTCTTACAAGACTCTTCTCTTCTTCCCATCTCTCTTTTCCATTCTTCCTCTCCACTTCCCTCTCCCTCTTCTTCTTCTCTCCTCGTCGGAGCCGCACATACCTCCCACCCCCCTGTGTCTCTTCCCATCTCTTCAGGACTGACCACCCCCGAGGCAAACCATCCCTCCTATCGACACTTCAGACACTGCCCGTCGCACGCTTGTCCATCATCGCGAATCCCATCGCGTCAGCAAAAATTCACACAAGCCTTTGTCTAGTGGCCAACCAGTTCCTGCGGGTTTCTTCGTCGAGCTTTTCTCACTTGCTGTTTTGCCATCGACGCACCTGTTCGGTTTCCTTCGCGACGACCTCTAATCCAATCGACCCAAAGGTTCCACTACGAGACCAAAGGCGCCGATAAACGGTCCATCAAATCCCTCTTCGCAGTACCTTGACGGTCTTCCAACTGCGTCGAAAAACCACCCACCATTCGCTACAGGTCGAGTTTGGGTCGTGCTGGTCAACAGTCGTGTCATCAACGCAAAACATTATTTCCTCCGGGCTGGACTCGAATTACATCTCAAAAAAACCAACACAAAAGAAACATCAATCCCCTCATCCGGGCTTATCCAAAAAGGGCAGCGCCTTTCCACCATCTGCGAACCTAGTCTCGCACAACCAAACTTTCTTTGACTCTCATCACCTCCGCGAACCTGCCGAGACGATCACCCCGCGCGATCTCGCCCTCGATCCGGTCAGACGCGACCGACACACGTCGTCAATTCCCATCCTAGATACTCAGACAGGATGTACTCACAACATGCCGCCGCGGGCATGGCCCCCCAAAAACCAGAGACCTTCATGCTGAGCACCGAGGCCCAGCAAGCGCTGCCCCACGATGCCCAGGTTGCTCTGCAGCAGGTTGACAACCGTAAGTTGCTCATGCCAAGACTTGCCGAGGGCCCTTCCATTGACGCGATTCCACAGTGAAATACTTCCTCATCTCTGCTCCTGTCGACTGGCAGCCCGACCAGTACATCCGCAGATTCCTCCTCCCCACAGGCGAATACGTCTCCTGCGTGCTCTGGAACAACCTCTTCCACATCTCCGGAACCGACATCGTCAGATGCCTTTCTTTCAGATTCCAGGCCTTTGGCCGGCCAGTGAAGAACTCCAAGAAGTTCGAGGAGGGCATCTTCTCCGACCTGAGGAACCTGAAGTCGGGAACTGACGCTTCGCTCGAGGAGCCCAAGAGCCCCTTCCTCGACTTCCTCTACAAGAACAACTGCATTCGCACACAAAAGAAGCAGAAGGTCTTCTACTGGTACAGCGTGCCCCACGACAGACTCTTCCTCGACGCTCTCGAGCGGGACCTGAAGCGCGAGAAGATGGGTCAGGAAGCCACCACCGTCGCCGTTAGCGAGCCTGCTCTCTCGTTCCAGTACGACTCGTCTCAGTCGCTCTACGAGCAGCTCACCAAGGCCCAGCAGGCCAACTCGTCCTCTTTCAACGCCCAGCAGGTGACCTTCTCCCAGTCCCAGTCCACCTCTCCCATCATGCGTCCCATGGACAACATGCCGCCTCCGCAGATGATCCCCCAGTCAGTGGCCCCATGTCGGATGGAATGGACGCCATGGTGCCGTACGGGGCGATGGGCATGCCTCAGCAGATGCCCCCCCAGCAGATGGTCAAGAGAGAGCCCGACTACGGTCGCGTTCAGTACAACCAGAACGGTGTCCCATCACCCAAGGCCACCAGAGACACGCCTCCATGCCCGCCTACGGCCTCGAGTACTCCCCTGCTCCGTCGTTCGTCTCCTCTCAGTACGAGGACTACAGCAACCGGGGCATTTCCTTCGAGCCCATCACGCCGCCCCAGCAGGCCCTGGGCATGGCCGCCGAGCCTGCCTACATTGCCAACGAGGAGACCGGCCTGTACACCGCTATCCCCGACCACATGGGCGGCAATGTCAACGGTCTCAACGGCATGATTCAGCTCCCCCCTCAAACCTCGCCGGCCCTCAGTTCTCGAGGGCGTACGGCTCGAACAACGTCTACTCTGTCATCGAGGGATCCCCCACGTACAAGCAGAGGAGACGCCGTTCATCCATCCCGCCTTCAATGTCGGCCATTGCCGCTGCCACCGCCCAAGCACAGGCGCAGGCGCAGGCGCAGCACCAGCACCAGCAGCACCAGCACAGACCCTCGGATCTCCGGCGGTCGGTCTCTGCATCGGTCGGTCCTGTGGCTGAAGGCGACGAGTCTGCAGACAACTCCCCACCCGGCCTTGCCTACAGCAGCTCCGCCATGTCCATGGTAAGCCAGCAGCACAAGGAGATGCTGGACCTGTCCCGGCACGGCACTCCGCTGTCCACTGTCGAGGGCAGCCCCGCTCTCAACCCCATGTCCCTCCAGCAGCAAGACTACTCCCACCTCCAACACGATGACATGTCTGGTGATGGTTCTATGAACGGTGCGCCGCGTCCTGGCATGCAAGGCCCCAACGGCGTCGTTCGTAGAGCCCGCTCCGCGACTGTCATGGAACTTGGACCCTACCCCCAAAAGTCCCACTCCTGCCCCATCCCCACGTGTGGCCGCCTCTTCAAGCGTCTCGAGCACCTCAAGCGGTAAGATTCAGATCTACTTTTTCATTTGTCAACAACCAAAACGACCTGCCTGAAATCTGACCAAACCTCCAGACACGTGAGAACACATACACAAGAAAGACCCTACATCTGCCCTTATTGTAGCAAGGCCTTCTCCAGATCAGACAACCTAGCACAGTATGCCCCAACTTTCCTTCATCTCATTTCCTTTGTCATTTTCTTTGTAAAGAGAGCTGTAATGTGGAGCGAGAGACCCCAAGCGATGATCACCAACGTCCAAACCGCCACGCCATAGCACCAACATCATCACTACGCAGCCACCAACTTGGGGGAAGATTCCTCACGCACAGCAACATGGACTGACTGGGATGTTTTTTTGCAGACACAAGCGTACTCATGACCGCGGTGAGAACGGTGAGGCGGCCCTCAACTTCTCCGGCGAGGAGGAGGAAGAGTACTCCGGCGAGGACCAGCTCGGCTCCCTCGAGGAGGCCTCGCCCAACTCGGAGAACGCCTACGTTACCGCCTCGCTCAACGGCGTCGCCAACGGCTCGACGCCGCCGACGTCCAACGGCATGGCCCAGTCGTTCAACAGCTTGCAGACGCTCAGCATGCCGATGACCATCAGCCAGCCGGCAGTGAACGCGAGCGCCATTATGTGAGACGGCATCTGACGAGCTAAAGCTCTCATTACGACTGGAGTTTACGTTTCCTTGGACACGGTGTTACTTAGAGGGCGGCATGGCTATGACTACGGTTTGGAATGGGTCAGGGACTTTTTTTCATTTTTCTTCATCCATCCAGACATGGATTTCGACACGAGTTAGCGACTGGACTATTGCTCCTTTGGCTCCGGACGATTTTTATCTTTTTTATCTTTTCATTTTCGGTTCGCGTGTTCAGCATCTAGTCTGGCCGTTGGTTCCAGACACCAAAAGGAAACTCGCACACATAGATGCGCGCGGAGAGACTGGGAAGATCTCAATGCGCGTTTGTACTCGTCGAAAAGGGAGATTTCATGCATGAGCTTTGGGTCGAGACGCGAAGAAGAGAAACGACTCGCACATGTATATATATTTTGTTTCTTTTCCTTTGTGCCGGAGGGGTATACTTTGAGAAGAAGCAAAGTTGCCGTGAAGGCCAGATGATACCAGGGGAAGGAGAGACGACTGTTCGGCGACTTTAAGAGTGCTGAACAGAGCATGTCAGAAACAAATAAGCTGAGTTGAATGCTGATACACGTTGATCATACTGTCCTCGGTCTGAAGTGATTGCTTGTTCGATGATTATGTGACCTGGTCTGCCTATGCTGTAAGTGCTGTATAGGTCGTTCAAATCGTTCGATGTCAAGTGCAGTTAAGATGGGATTGGGAGCCTGTCATCACCCTTGAGGCGTAAGTCATCCTAATGCATTGTTGGTATTCTTGGGTCTTGCACCTCTCTCTCTCTCTCTCTCTCTCTCTATATATATATACGTAGCCAGTCCTCGACAGATCGGCGATGCCCGACAGCCGCTGCCCTTTTCTCACCAGGTATTTGAACGGAAACTTTTTGAAACTCCACAGAACGCCTTCCTCATTGCAACAAGACGGCGCGTTTTACCTCCTCCCGCGTCCCCTGCCACCACCACGGCCGCCTCTCCCGCCCCTGCCGCCGCGGCCGCCGCCGCTGCTGCCCTCGATGCTCTGGATGTCCCTCTCGCTCAGCCTCAGCTCGGCGCCGCGCATACGGCCGACGGCGGGGCCGTCGACGCTCCTCTCGGCGCGGCCGCCCTTTTTGGCCTTCTTGGGCGGCGGGGCTTCCCTCTCGAGCACGATGCCGTTCTCGCGGGCCTGCCGGCGGCGCTTGGCCTCCTTGTCGGCGGCGGCGGCGGCGATGCCCTTGCGGAAGGCCATGGGCATCTTGTCCTGGGTGAAGATGGACCCGACGCCCGAGACGCCGCGGGCGAGCGTCTGCGTGCGCAGGTCCGCCTGGCGCTGGCGCAGCTTGCCCTCGGAAAAGGTCTTTGACGCGAGCGAGGGGTTGGAGAAGGGCGTGATGGTGTGCCGGGAGAGGAGGTGGGACTCGGAGAGGAGGCGCTGGAGGGCGAGGTCGTTGGCGAGCATCGACTTGTCGTTCTCGTCGTCGGGGTCCGCTGGTGCCGCGAGGGCCGCCGAGGGGGTCGGGTCGGTCTGCGAGGGGGGTTTGGAGGACTGCGGCGAGGGCGGGCGCGTTAGAGGGGTCTGTGTTTGTAGAGAGAGAAGAAGGGAAGAAGGGGGAGGCACATACCATGAAGGCTTTGAGCTCGCGTTTGCTCATGCTCGCGACGGGTTGGGGTTTGGAGTTTGTGTGGTCGACGACCTCGATGACGGGGTTCTCCTCGACGCTGTTCTCGTCGTCTTCTTGCTCGTCAGAGTCGTAGTCGTCTTCTGCAAAAGGGTGCATCGTCAGCATTGTGGCCTCTTCATCGGGGCCGGCTGCAGGTTTCCTCTCGAGAAAAAGCAGAGCAAGGAGTTGGCTTACCATCCTCGCCAGAAAGACCACTCCACTCTTCACCCTCCCCTTCCTGTCCGTCGGCGCCCTCGTCTTCAAACACGTCCTCATCGTCGTCGTTGCCCTCCTCTGCCTCGTCGCCCTCGTCCGAGTCGAGCTCGTCGTCGTCTTCATCCCGCGCCTTAGCGGCCTTGGTCTTGTTCCGCTTCGGTGCCCCAATGGGCTTGAACTGTGCCTCAAAGTGCCTCCGGAAGATCTCCTGCGCGGAGAGCAGGGACTCGTCCACCTCTTCCTCCTCCTTCTCGGCCTTCTTCGCCTTCGTCGTAGTCTTCTTGACGAAGCTGCCGGCGGCGGGTTTCCTCGCAGCCTCGAGGCTCTTGTTCTTCTCCTTCTTCAGCGCCGGTGCCGCTGCGGCCTTTGCTGTGTCGGCGCTCTTCTTCGTGGCGCTCGCCGCGGCGGGTTTGCCGGCCTTGACGGCGGCGGCGGACGAGGGTGCCTTGCGCTTCCCGAGGACGGAGGCCATTGCTTCTTCTGTCTTGGTCCGCGGACGGTTTCTCGTTTCTTCGCCGAGATTCTTGTATAGTTCCAGCGTCGAAAGACGGAAAGAGTCGTCGGTGCAAGGCCTGCGGCGTCGGAATCGCAGCTGGGTCGCGTGGTCGTGTCGGGGGAAACGCAGTCGCAAACGCTGCAAAAAACTACGGCGGGACCTGCAGCTCAGTGCGCCCGTCCTCCCAGAAAATTTCAGCGGGTCCCCCGACCCTTGCTCTCAGCCTCGCTCAGGCTGTGGCTGGAGGGCCATGTCTGATTGGCCGCAGGCCAAAAGTACGTGGTGGGGTGGGAGGCGGTGCCAGAGGTTCCTCAGCCTTGGTGGGATGATGTGGAAAGGACAAGCCGGCGTCTTCCTCCTTTCAAGACCCATCATCCATCGGATCCTCTGCCCAAACCCCCAAACATCAGCACCCTCAAACTCTATTTTCTCCCTCTGCGCCGCTCATGGTTCACTCCCACATACCCAACTTGAGACGAAAGGAGCCACGTACGCGCTCACCCCCGGACATCAAAGAAACAACCACAGTGGTGACGTGTCTTGCGACGTGCACCACTCCTGACCATGGTCCCAGAATAGCTCACGTCCAATGAACTCTGTGAAACTAGCAGCCATACAGACGGCCAGCAGAGCTCTGGTTCAGGTCGAGGACCAACCATCACAAAATGGCGACTGGATCTCAGACTACGCTATACCCTTATCCACATGGACCCTTCATGCACTAAGCGCTCAAAGAGAAGAGAACAAAATGCGTATAACACCATACTAACTCTGCTTGTGACAAACACTGCTTGCTATCCATCCCAGACCCCCTTTTCATCACATCTTTCCAAACCCCTGATGCACACTCCTTCTCGCTGACACGCATACCCCACCCTGTCCCTCCTTGGTTGTATTTCACCCACGCCAGAAGACACCTCAAGAGCGCGCGGCTTCAAGCTCCAGCTCCAACTGCCTGATCCTCTCGCTCTGATCCTGCGACCCGCCGGCGTTCACCTTGCGCTTCAGCCCCTCGACTTCAGCCGACAGGTGGCTAATCTTGTCGTTCTGCTTGCTGATGAGCTTGGTCTGCTGCTCGAGCATCTGTCTGATCTGATCCAGAGACGACTCAATGTGCGTCGAGGACGCGGGTGAGTTGGCCGATGCCGGCTTGACGGGGGACTGTTGTGCGGGGGGCGACTTGACTTGGGCGGGAGAGATAGCCTTGATAGGGGACGGGATCCTGGCGGGCTCGACACGGACAGGAGCAGGCGCGGCAGCAGGGGCAGGGGCACGCTGAGCTGGTCTCTGCACCTCCTCGAAACTGGAGTTGTCGTCATCCTCTTCCGGCTCAGCAGGCTCGTCGTCCTTGAACTTGGACGCCATGTTGGAGATGGAGGCCTGCTGGTCCTTCATCGAGGGCGGCGGCGAGCGCGCAACCGGGGTAGGCTCCGGAGCAGGCGTGGGCTTCGGCGCGGGCTTGGCGGCTGGCGCCGGGGCAGAGGCGATCACAGGGGGCTTGTAGTCAGAGGCGACCTCCTTGGGAGCAGTACCCTCGTACACACTCTCCAGGTCGATCTTGGTGGGGATGCCCTCCTTGCCCTCCAGCCACTCCTGGGCGCTGACGGCAGGCTTGAGACCAGTAGCGGGGGGGAAGATGTCGGACTGGAAGGTCTCGGCTCTACGGGGGACGGTGAAGGAGATGGGCTCAATGTAGGTGTCGTTGACCGTCTTGTAAGCTCTCATGACCTCGTTCTCGTGCACCTAAGCAGCGTTAGACTTGACCTCCCGCTGCACTACTGCGTACGCAGACTTACGTTGATGCCACGGCGAGGGACGAAGGCAATGCCTCTTTGGGGCTCGGCGGACTTGTACTCGCTCAGGTACTCGAACTTGTCGTTTTCGTACTCGTAGTAGCGGATGTTGCCGTCACTGTGTGCTTCATTAGCAAGTTACCAAACCAGCGCCGCCGGGACACTCACCCCTTGCCAGCAAGGTACAAGCAGTTGGATCCCTCGTCTGTCCGAGAGTCAGCATTCGGCCTGTCCATCGCGTGAACCATGAAAACTCACCCCAGAAGGGCATAATGACACCCGAGATAGAGTCCAGCATGGAGAAGCCTCCAATGGGCTCATTGCGACCGGGCTCCCACAGCGCGAGCTGGCGCTCGCTCATGCGCGAGAAACCAGCCGTGGCGAAGCGGTTGTGCTCGCCCATCCACACGGCTCTGCTGTTCTTGGCGCCCGGGTGGCCGGGGGCCTCGTGGACGGGCTTCTCGGCGCGCACATCCCAGACGCGGATCTTCTTGTCGCGGGACGTCGTCACTAGCATCGAGCCGCTGGCGTTCCACGAGAGACTCTGCACGATGTCGTTGTGCTTCAGGGTATGGGAAGCCGAGCCACTGTTGATGTCCCAGAGCTTGATCGTGAAGTCGCCGGATGCGGACGCGAGGATGTTCTCGGCAGCGGGGTTGAACTGGACCTGGCCGACCTTTCTGTATGTAGTCTGTCAGTTTCGTGGTCCAAGTTCAGAGGGCGGACGGGGAGGCGTCGGCGTCGACGAACCTCGAGTGGCCGGCGAGCTTGCCGACGGGGGAGACGTCGGCGGGCTCCTCGGCATCGGTGTAGAGGGTGAAGTTCTCGGGAACCTGCCAAATAAAGACCTTTCCATCCTCGGAACCGGAAGCGATGACGCGGTCGTTGAAGGGGTTCCTATCACGTGGCCGTCAGTATCGCTGTCGCGTGCGCTCGTCGTGGGCAAATGGGGGGGTTCGCGCGGGCGCCCGCAGGGATCGGCGTACCAGTCGGTATCAAGGACGGTGGCGGTATGGCCTCGAAACAGAGGGATCTGGTCAGGGACCTTGCCCGTCTCGCCGAGAGGGATGACAGCAAAGGCGCCGCCGCCGCCAGCTTCCCAATTGACCGAGAGGTAGTCGGGGTTGGCCTAGAGGTAGGGAGTTTCCCGTCAGCTCGTTCTCTCGACCCATCGATTGTCTCAGGGGACAGGAGTAAAAGAAAAGGGAGGCCCCTTACCTTTACCAAGTTGGTATCCCATGCATTTCGGCTAATGCGAAGGTTGTCGTAGCAGAACTCCTTGCGGGTGGGCTTGCCAAAGACGTGTCCTGGACGAGAAGGAGTCGGGCGTCAGCAGTCAGCTCCTCCCAGCGCAACGCGGCGGCTTGCGACAAAAAAGACCCACGGTATTTCGACGCTCGCACAAAGCGGCCCGCCATTGGGGATAATGTGTAATGTTAGAAGCCCGGGAGGCGGGAGGCGGGAGAGAGGGGATTCGGAGACGAAAAGGATGCAGGCGATATGCAATGCTGTGACGGAAAATGCGACGACGCAACCTGCGATCTTTTGGTGATCCAAAAGGGGAGGATTCGGTGTAATAGACTGGGAGCTGTCGATGGCGGGCCCTCCCAAATAACGTACTAGCGGCGAGATGAGGTGGGTGCTGCCGCTCGCGGGTACTCCAGCGGCGGAGGCTGCTATTGCTGCTCCCAATCCACCGCATTTCGGGTAGCGATCCATTGCTCTAACGGGTACGTACCCACCTCACCAGCAATCCGTACAGCTGTACATTAGAGATTGATGGATGGATACCTTGGTGAAACTCCCCCGGCCAGCTGCGCCCCGTGGCTTCCCTCCACTGACGAGAATAACGATGGACCAGGGGCCCAGCCAAGTTTATGCGATGCGTGTCACGGCGCACGTGATGCATGCATTTCCTCAACATGGTTGGTGGGCAAGGCCCGTCGTCATCTTCACGAGGTTGCATTGTCACATCACCAAGCAAGATAGAGTAACGAGAAAAGCCTCCCATTTTGGTACAACATGATACGTACAATAAACGGGCTACCCAACTCCAAGAACAATGCTCAAAAGAGTCCGAGTGCGAATCTAAACAACAAACTCTCACAATCTCCGGAACTTCATCCATCGCCAACGAACCCAATGCCCAAAACGCCATCCTGCCTGCCAAAGTATTAAATATCGAGGCAAGGGCGCATCGAGCAGACACAAGCCATTTTTAAGAGCGGACCAAAGACACATGATCATCCGATCACGAACTCCAGGTCCAAGAGAATCATAGATCATGCCGTGTCCTCCCGTTTCGTGTCGCCTAGTCGTACCCGTCATGCCAAATCATGAAGAAAAGAAGGGGTATTAGTTGAAAGTGCTCTTCGTCCGCGAGTGCACCCGCCGGCCCTCTGCCCGGCGACGCAGCGCCTCCTCCCTCTTGAGGACGAGCTCGCACCACTTGCCCTGCTTACGAGGCCCGCTGACATCGTCGTCGCTGTCGCCACGCCCGACGAGGTCAGTCAGAGCCTGCAGCCAGCCAGCCTTGTCCTCGGCGGTATCGGCGTAGAAGTCGATGGTCTCGCCGTTGTTGAAGCGGATACGGAAGCCCTCCTCGACGAACATGTAACCCTCTTCTTCTTCGGCAAAGGCGGATCGCCGGCGTCTGCCGCCCTTGCCGGTCGTCTCCTTCTCCGTGAGGGCGCGCCGGTCGTCAATGAGACGCTTGGCATTGGCCAGATTGATCGTGGCACGGGGTTGACGAGTGGCCTCGTGATAGGCGGTGAGCTTATGGCCGACAAGCTTGAAGTATCGTCGACGCCAATACTGGTAATCAAGTTAGCACCTTGTCTAGTGAAGTAGGGCATGCGGAAAGAAACTTACCGGGCAGTCACCTCCCTGCTGACTCAAGTGTCCCTCCCAGTTCTTAGCAAGGCGCTCCTCGGCAGCCTTGAGTTCCCTGATGCAGGAGTTCATGCTCTTGGGCATGTCCTCCTCGGTGGATCCCTTGGGACGGGGAACGAAAAGCAGCTGGAGCTCCAACTTGCCAATCTTGTACGGAGCACGGCGAACAACAGCGGTGTTACCACGCTTGCTCTTGACGCTGGACGCGAATGCAGCCTCCTCCGTCGCCCACTCGTTGAAGCAGGCCACGTCTACAACGTACGGGCGGCCGTAGCAGCGCGACTCGTGCTCCTTGAGGCAGACGTAGGAACGAGCGAAGCTGCCGTCCTCAGCAGCGAGCGGGGACAACAGGTCCCAGGCCGTGGGCGCAACCTTCATCTGCCTGGCTTGAGCCGCCTTCTGCTGCTCCGCCGCCAGGCGCTCTTCTTCTTCCCGCTGGCGCATCTCCATCTCCTTGCGCTTCTTGGGTGACGCGAACACCCTGCTAAAAGTGGACGTCTTGGGCTTGCTAGCCTTAGTAGGAGACTGCACGATGACCTTCTTTGGTGGGGGCTTCTCCAACTTGACGTTGAGGGTAAGCTGGAACTCCAGGTCGTTCGGCACAACAAGCTCGAATTCCTGGCCGACGGGGGCGTTGCGCGCAAGCTCGAGCCAGGCGGTTGTGACACAGTGGACACCATTGTCAAGAGTGAGACTGAACCAGGTACGCTCCGCTAGAAGAGGTTAGCCATCTGAAGGCACACGAGGGGATGGGTGGGCATACTTCTGGGGATGGGAAGATCGAGGTCCTTGACACCAAGAACCTTGACGAAAAGACGGCCGCGCTCGCCGCTCTCCTCAGTGGCCAGCTCGGGGTTCAGGTCCTCCTCGGCCAAGGGGTTGAGAGCTTGCGCGTTACTCTCCTGGCCAGGCATGGGCGGAACCGGCCCACTGGTTTGAGGGCGGCGTCTGATGCTCTTCTGTCTGGGTCTACCATTCCAGGGCTCGACGGTCCACGACTGAGGACGATCCGTCTTGACTGGGGAGTTGCCGGCTGATCGGGTCTTCCACATGTCGGAAGATTCCTTGTCGCTTGCCGTCACGACCTTAGTGTTTTGTCGCATGAGGTAACCGCGCTGATTCTTCTTGTTAGCACTCTGTGACTTTGCTTCTACTGAAATGAGTTTGCTTGTGGTTGCGGCCGGCCTGTACGCTTGTCTGGCGGGGCTTCCACTAGCGAAATGAGATGAATCAAGTACTTGGTGAGAAAAAGCAACCTTTTGTGTCTCGATGACCCGGTCGAAATCCTGATCAAGACTTAGGCCAAAGTCGAGATCCAATGTCAAGCTCCGCTTGTTGAAGCTCGAGTGACGCTTCATCATGTAGTCCTCATCGGGGATAGTGGGCTCTCCCTGCAGATCCCTTGACAGCCTGTTGCGGTGGCGTTCGGGAATGGCTGGAATGTCAGGCACCTCGCGACTAACTTGGCGCCGGGCTTCCCTCATGGCAATGATGTCAGAAGGGGTGTTAGATGGTCTGGTCTTCAGCTTAGACCCCGAGGCCTTGATGGTAGCTTGTCGCTCAGGGATCGCAGGGGATTCCATAGGAGGCTCATCAAACATCTCCGACTCCTCCTCCTCCTCTTCCGAGCTGGAGGACATGGGACGATGAATGACGGACTCGGGCGTACCGGGCTCCTCCTCGTATTCATCCTCCGGGTCACCCCATCCAGAACCATCGTAGTCAGGCTTGGAGAGCTGCTTGGGAGTCGAAGGTCGCTGCATCTGAGCCTGGATGTCCGTCATCTTGGGCGGCGGCTGAAGGTCTTCGACCTCTTTGGCTGAAGGCTCCGGAGGCGGCGGCAGCATGAACGACTGCAGACCCCTGGAGAACTCGTTGTCCTTGCCCTCATCCTCCATTTCGGGAAGGCTGTGTTTGCGCTCAGATGGAGCATCGGTGGGGGCAGCAGCCTGTACTACTGGTGATGGCTCTTTCTCGGCCTCGGGCTGGACCTCAGCCTCGGGCTGAATCTCGACCTCAGGCTCGAAAACCTGCGTCACCTCGGTCTCAGGCGTCGGCTCCTTGGCCGAGGCATCATCAGCGACGTCGACCTGCTGGTCAAACATGTTGCCAGCCTTGTCAGACTTGAGCTCCAAAGGTCTTATCTCTGAGGCCATGTTGAATGACTGGACAGCGCGGGGAGTTAGGATATCCTCGTCGACCTGAGTGACCTCGGGCACGCGAGCTGGCCCATCCGAGTAATGGCTGGCAGAATCCGCGTCGTTCTCATCAGCGTCAGAACGTGCGTAGAAGTCTGTGATGGACTCGGTCTCAGCATCCGAGGGCTCGTCGCGGTGGATGATTACACTGCCCTCGTCACTCAGCTCGGAAACGTCATCGAGAATCGAGTCCTCCGTGGAAGGGATGGGAACATCGGGATCGAGCGGCAGAGGAAGACGACGTTCAGGGCTAGACCGCTCGGGACTCGAGCTCGGCACTGGCGACGAGAAGTAGTCACCACCCTGGTCACTGTTGCCGCCGTTGACGCGGCGCATAATGGACTCGCGAGAAATGCGACTAGGCAGCTCGTAGTCCTCGAGGGCAGAGATATCGCCAATGGTGTCATCGGCCTCATCGGCCTCGAGGGAGAGCATGCTAGACTCAGCCGTCTCGGTGTCGGACGCGGGGCTCTGGATCCTATCGCGCTGAGCACCCCGACGAAGGCGGCGCTCTCTCTGCTGCTCATTGGCCGACTTGTGGTCGTCTGAGAGCATCATAAGCTTCAATCTCTCCTCGAGAGTCATCTTGCCGTTGCCAATGCTCTGGATCTCAGTCTTGCTCGTGACCGCCGGCGGAGGCGACGGCAGGCTGCGATGGGCACCCAGCATTCTCTCGGCGGTGGCGGCCAGACCCGGCGAGGAGCGGGAGTCGCTGCGGGCGGGAGAGCCCATGCCGGGCAGGGGAGGCAGGGGACGGTGGTCTGAGGTTGAGGAGTCAGATCGTGTGTGCTCTGCGCGACCAAGACGCGGAGGGAGGGCGTCCGGCATCGGGCTGCCATCGAACGGGTCCTCCACACGCTCGGCGGACTGCCTCCAGTCGTCGGGGCCAACGACTGGCGTCTTGTCTGTGTCTTCCAGCGACGCGTCGAAGCTGTCACCCTCAATGTCATGGTCACCGAAGTGGTAGTGGCCATCCTCGTCGTCCTCGTCATCCATCGACTCGAAGCTGCCTTCGCGCGAGTTGGACCCGATGGATGAGATGTCTGGTGTGGCCATCTCATACTCGTTGATCTGAGGGGGGGCAGCATCGAAAGTGACGCTCTTGGCGTGTCGGTGGAGCGACTTGCCAGAAGGAAGTTCGCGGTCGTCGAACGAGGTGTCGGCCGACCAGGTGCCGGTCTCAGGGTCGAAGCTGCTCTTGAAGTTGCTCCTAGAGAGGGACGACTTGATTGGGGACGCTTGGTCCTTGCCCGGGCTGCGTGGCGGGTTGGTCGGGCCGGCTTGCATTGGGGTGGAAGCCTTGGTCGGGCTCCCGGCCGGGCTGTAGATGGGAATGCTCGATTTGCTGTTGTTGCGCTGGTGGCCGATGCCTCTGTTGAGAGAATCGGAGGATCGGAGGCCATTGATGATGGTTGTGGTTCCGTCAAAGGAGCTCCCCTGATGCTTAGCTAGAGGGCGCTCGACCTGGGGTATTCTGGTCGGGTCGTATTCCTGCTTCTGCTCAAGGGCGAGGATGTTGCTGTTTTTGACGCGCGAGGCTCTCTGGAGGCGCTCGATGGAGGTGCGGCGAGTCGGCGAAGGCGAGCCGTGGCGTCCGCCATACAGGCCGCTGTTCTCCGTGCTGATGGAGTCGAGGTTGCGCTTCTGCCAGAAGAGCCGAGGCGATGTAGTGGTCTCTAGTGGGGACGACTGGAATGGGGAAGAGTCGGTGTTCAGAGTCATTTTCTACAGCACACTTGTTAGACGACATCCTCAGCAGGGACTGTCTGAGACAGCATCCGCTCACCTTGGACGGCTGCTTCCAGCTGGGCGAGTTCCTTCTGTGGTCTGAAGGAGAAAGCTCTGAAAGGGGGCGAGGCATGCCCGTGTTTGCTTTGGCGGGTGTGGGTGATCCCGATGTGCTGCTGCCCTTGGAGATGCGCAACGGGTGCACCTGAGGAGAGAGTGTGAGTGTTGGCCAACAGGGAACGCGCGGGAGAACCCCAGGCGGCGGAGTGGGTAGGCTACTTACAGGTTCCTCAGAAGAAGCCATTGTATGTGATGTTTCGGTGACTGCGCAAGCGCATGGGGGGGTAACAGCCGTCGCAGAGGGGGGATGGCGATCGGTACTGGAAAGTAGAATGCAAGGTAGAGCAGGCTCTGCTGCGGTGCTTGCGGGGGCAGTTTTCGTAAACTTTCGGAGCGGGATCTCGCAATATACAAAGGGGAAAACGCGTTGTCGAGTGTCTACTCGAATGGATGATTTGACTTTTTCGGTCCGTCGCCTCTCGGGGGGTTGATGAGCTGTCAGATGCCGACTCTGGTCGTAATCGAAGGGTGTTCGAGGATATGGATGACTGGAATGTGACAGAACCGAGATGGTGATGCTGGATACCGCAGGGGAGCAGGTGAGGGGATGGGGGGGCAGCGCAAAACAACAGCAGCGGCGCACAGGGGGGGGGAAATAAAATCAAAAAGAGCAATGCCGCCTAAAGTGCAGGCAACAATAACTCGTAGCGTTCCTGACGGCCGGTCGTGAGTTGAGAAACAACGAGAGGGTGAACAAGATGGGTGTTGTGATGCGTCGATGTGGTCGGGTGTTGTTTAAGGGCAACGAGGCGGTATGAGTTGACGTTGAGGCGGGGAGGCGATGATTGGTGCGCGCAGCTCGAGAAGTAAACAAACAAGGAAGGCAGCTCTTTGTCGGTGGCGTTGCTCCTGGCGACCTTGTTGTTTAGTACGACTTTGGGCTGACAGGGGGGGGGGGGGGGGGGGGGGGAGGGGACGAGAGGCTTGGGACGAGGGGTTGTTGGCAGCGGACCACTGGGGAGAGGGGAAGACGACGACGGTCGGCGGGCGACGACCGGGGTGGCTGGCCGTGGGCGGTTGAGTGTCCTCGCTGTACGTGCCCACTCTTTCTGTTACGCTGAGGTGCGCAGCAGCGGTTTTACGATGCACTTCATGTGCTCTTAGCGAGCCAGAGGACCTTAGTGGCCCAGTCTGTGCCCCGAATGCGCCGGCGACGAGCCACTAGAATTGGCCCGTCGTCACAACAGATTGACATACCCTCCGTGTTAGTTGCTGCAGCGCCTGCAGGGAGAGAGTGAGGAAAGCAAGCCAAAAGCAAGTATCCGAGGCAGCGGCACCACACCAGAGAAGCGGCGTGAGATACGACTGCTGCACACGGGAAAAGAAAAAGAAGGATCCTACCAACAACAACCTGATTCAACAACCCAAGGCCGGTCCAGTCTTTTCCGTAACCACCTTAGCATCACGCTTGCTCTCTCCCCCCTCGTCTTTCCTCGTTGTTGTTGTTGTTGTTGTTGTTGTTGAACTATAACAATTCGCCGGGCCAACAGGAGCTGAGAACATGGGTTCTTGCAGTCCGTTGCAGTCAAGGTCATGTCATCGTGATCACTCTGGAGCCCACTCGCTGCAGCGTGTGAAGGCTAGGAAAGCCAGCCCTTGCCCTGGATATGGACCTGGACCTGGACCTGGATACTTTTTGGGTTCCCGCATGTCGTGCTTCTCTCCATCGCATCGTGTCGCGCACATCACCGCAGATGGGGTTGGTGGGTTCCTGGGTTTTCTGGTTTACTTTTTGGGCCCGAGGGCTAGGATGATGAATGAAGGATGGAGCTCGTTGTTGCTTTAGACGTCCCCCCCCCCCCCCCCCCCTCTATCCGTGGCCGTGCTCGCCAAGGGTATGTGTTGTTATTATCGCCGTGTCGTTTGCTCTCCGTGGAAACGAGAGAGTTTCCCGCTCAGCTTGTGTTCTGCTGTCTTTGCCTGTGGCTCAAAAACTCGACTCGTTGCTGTCAGTGGCTGCCATTGTCCATGCAGCTCCCCTGGCGCGGTCTCGTAGTAGTATAAAGAATTTTTTATTTTTTTTCAATTTTCTAATTTCTTGCTGACTGCCTTAGCTTGGCCTTCAAAATGTCAAGTCGTTGTTGTTTTCGTTTGTTTCCCATCCTGTGCGCCCCGACTCAACTGTCGCGTGTATAAAGGTACCCCCGTTGCAGAACTGATCGCCCGGACTTTACTACTAGAGCCTGCACCATCTCTCGTCCCCGCCCCCGCCGGCGCAAACCTATTCTCGAGGGGGAAAAACCCGACCTGCGCCGCAATGAATTGACTTCCCGGTGGTCCTGTCCACGCTCGACTCCAGTCTCCTCTCCTCCTCCCCCTCCCACCCTCGTCTCCGCGAGCCAGGAGCACCATACGGCCGGCCCCTCAAAGCAAATCCGATAGAGCGCCCCTCCCTCCCCTTCAGCCCCAAGAGAGGAGCAATGACGAAGAGAGGGGCAAGCACGACAATCGCCTAGGCAGATTTCCGATCCGGCGCACACCATCGTGCAGGACACATCTTTCATGTACGATGGATGTACGTACACATATACGTAAGTATATCCTACAGACAACCCACCCGCCGGGTCGTGTCGGCACGTAAAAGAGAGAGATGCATGGGACGCTAGAAAGCTAGGCAAGCTAGGCCACCTGCGCCGACGTCGCGTGCCTTCCAGCCAGCTCCGTATGGTCCATTTGTTTCTTTCATCTCACGTTTCCTAGCGCGCACCCGGTTGCTCGTCGCACTGGCTGAAACAGCGTCGCTCAACCGCCTAGTCGCACGGCTGCCGCCGGATGTGACGCCTGTCATCCCAATCCAACCCAAGCCCACCGCAAGGCAGGGATTTCTCGTCTTGTGTTTGACTTTTGATGCGATCGACCTACGGATCCTGCTGTCCCTTTATTTCTTATTCTACTGCTGAGCTCGATTCCACTCGACGCACTCCTCGAGCTTCACCCCGTTGCCCCCGAAACAGTCCAACGCGCTCCCGATCGTCAGGTCCACCTTGCCCTTGCTGAGCTTCTTCACCATCTCCAGATCCGCCAGGTTCCTGCCGCCGCCCGCGTACGTGACGGGCAGGCTGCACCACTCGGCCAGCCGCTCCACAAGCTTCTCGTCGATGCCCTTCTGCAGACCCTCGTTGTCCGCCGCGTGGATGAGGAACTCTGAGCAGTAGGGTTCCAGCAGCTTGATGGACTCTGCCCGCGGTGAATCTCTCGTCAGCCAAGCCCTTGACACACACTCATCCATGGTCGTATTCCCACGTAGCATTAGAACGAACCTTGATTAACCTCCATGTCCGTGATGGTCTGCCACTTGTTCATGGCCACGAACCACTTGTCGTCCCCGCGCCGCCGGCAGCTGAGGTCGATGACGAGCTTGTTCCGGTCGCCGCCCAGCGCCTGGAGCACCGCGTCCAGCCTCTCCTGGCTGAACCGCCCGTCCGGGAACAGGTACGATGTGATGATGACCTTCTCTGCGCCGGCGTCGATCCACTCCCTCGCGTTCTTGTCGTTGATGCCTCCCCCGACCTGCAGCGCGTCCGGCCACGCCTTGAGCGATTCTTGGGCGGCCTCGGTGTTGCCGGGCCCCAGCATGATTACATGGGCCCCGGTGAGGTCATTGTCCCTGTACAGCCGCGCAAAGTGCGCCGGCGGGTGCGTCGAGACGAAGTTGGTCTTGAGCTCTGCCGTCGTGCTGTCGAGCGTCCCGCCGACAATCTGCTTCACCTGCCCGGCGTGCAGGTCTATACAAGGGCGGAATCGCGTCATGTTCGGGTGTGTGTCGGCTGGTTTCTGTTGGTTGGAGAAGTTCCCTCAAACTGAGATCCACGGATGCGTCACTGACCCCCTCCTGCTCAATTTTGTGTGGATGGTGGGGTTGCGATCTCGGTACCGGCCTAACTTTGGTGTGCCGTCATACTCCTCTGGTAGGCTCCTGACGAGGCTGGAACAGCTCAACTTGAGTCTTTTGAACCCATTAATGACACTTTAAAGGTTTCCTTTCTTGTAAAAACGTAACCCAAGAGTTTGAGCTTCATCTTCTCTACTTGGCCGGGTGTCTCTGCTAGACCATGTTCTGCGGTGATGTTATGTGTAGACTTTGACCAAGTCAAAGCTTACATCAACTCGACTCAACCATTACCAAAACCAAGTAAACAGTCGTTTGATTTTCCAATTGAAATGAAGCATCCCGTTTTCCAAACATAGGAGGATTTGATTGAACATTCAGCTGGTTATCAATGGCGTACCTGACTCCTATAACGTTTTCCGGTTCTAGGCAATGATCCCTCATCCTATTTGATTTTGCGTGGGTAACGGGGTTACGGTCGCGGTAGCGGCTGGATGTTGGCGTAGTTGATTATTGGTTTATCGTGTTGCTAACGCCCTCTTAGACAATGAATAAGGCTGTTTCTAAGTCTTCTAGAGGTTGGTCTTCCCAGTGATAGCTATATTTTCATTGGTCAAGTAACATCTGCCTCGAACAATTCGATAACATACTTGAGTAGTTTGCGAGGGAGGACAGTTGCGCAACGATAACGGTTCCACCATGTGGGGAGCCTTGCAAGTAGGGTACTTGTGTAAAAGTTGGGAAAGATTTTGCAACAACGGCTGTGTGTTCTAGTGGATTATGATTTCTCGTTCACAAGTATGTGCACTTGATCCCGAGAAGGTCGCAGGTTCGAGCCCTGCCACGGTCACAGTAAAATACTTTTTGTTGATGAGCCTTCATTTTTTGCTCTTTCCCTTTGCCTGTACGCAACCTATTGGCTTCATCTTACTTTTACGTGGGACAGCAACGGGACATATCTTATCTATCTACGGCTGTGAGAAGAGCTGGGAATCTGACTTGACTACCATACAACGGTAGCCCTTCTTGGCTATCTCATACTTCTCTCCATTTGCATTCCTGTTCGAATGTGCATCTTACTCCTTTTGTTCCCCTTGACTTAAATTCCATCCTCCGAGCCAGCACATCCACTCGTTCCTATTCTTAGTCGTCGATGCGCTGCGTTATGACTTCAAAGGTCGACCAACCTATGACACGGACACAGAAGAGCATAATCGTCTTATCAGTCTGCGAGGAACAGCCATGATTGAAATCTCCGACATTTTTTCTTGCAAGACTTCACGGATATCAGACTCTTGTAGACTCTATGTGGCCTTGTCAAAGCTAGTATGGCTACGCCAGGCTAGGATAGAACGAGAGTTGTACCAGGCTTCGCAAGAGGCCGAGGCGTCAAGAGACATCGAACTGGTGGTCATGGAGATCTCAGCCGGGTGACCAGCATCCTGTCCAGAAGAAAATCCAATTGACAGACAAATTGCGATGGGTTTTCTGGGCGGCTGCGTGTGGCTCAGGGAGATGACGAGGTTTACAAGGTAGTGCCCCAACAAGCCGGTTAGTCGGACGTCGCGAAATGGCTGGAAACATGGCATTAGTAACGTGAGATGACCTCAATGGGGAGACTGATGACCTGCGACTTGAAGTTCACAAGAATCACAAGTGGCTGATTCATAGCCGCCGCGCTACCGTGTCAGTTGCCAGTATATCCAGTAGTGCCAACCGCTGCAGTAAGCCAAGATGAAGCTTGGTTGTGGGAATTACAAGCAACCGGAGGTTCTTTATATGGTTTGCATATATATGAATAACTTCAACCATTCCTTGAGTCACAAATATGCATCTGAACCTATGATAAGTTGCGTCCAAGAAGCCAACAAAAACTGTCGCGAAGGACCACAACATGCCCGAATAACTATCCAAGTACTATAGTTACCCATTAGCGGAAGGTTTACCACTCCGATGAATTTCCTCAAGAGCACCCAAATCAAGAAGCAAGGCGGTTTGACCTAATCACAAAGCCAGTCCATCACATTGTGAAGCTTCAACGCCTTAAGGAACCATCGCCTTCGAGACCGAAACCAAGTCAAAAGTACCCATGATAGGATTACTCGCATAGACAGGAAGGCACCCAAAATTATTCATTCGTTTGTGCCTGGTTTTCAGCTGTCTTTCTGGTTCCCATTTGGAATTTGGCTACGGCAAAGGGGCATCCGAAGTTGAGATCAGACCTAGATCGGGTAGTTTGCATGTAGGAGAGACCCCAACAAGGCAGCAACTACTTATGCGCAACTCTCGTACGCTAGCTTCTACACTTCCGCTTCTTTCAAACCATCGTTCTCTCACTACGAAGTCCTCAGTGTCTCCAACACAGAATCGAGCACTTCCGCGATGTCTGCTCCAGAGGGCACCCCTCGCCTGCCTGTGAATTCTACCAAGCTACCGTACATTGATCCAACAGAAACAAAGACATGTACGCCATGAAAGATCTGTATCAACTCTATGACTGCCACTGGCAGTGTGAGGACTTGGGCATCAGGTATGCCCAGTGATTGTAAGGCTACATAGATAACCTTCCTCCCTTGACGCCAACTGTGTCGGTATGACCGACATTTCTAGAACTACGCACCACGTATTCAGAAGAATACAAAACTCCATGGCGGCCATCCCTCGAACAACCGAAGCGCTGGGTGACTGGGTATCTCCTCCACCTCTACCGCCTGATCGACGGCAAGACCGACGGCTCAGCCAACGGGGAAATGGCGTGGTGTTTCGTCATTGATGTCGTTGAGGACTTGGGACAGACCATGTAGCAGTGAAGACGATTTCTGTCCTCGCGATGGCGAACTAGGCTGGCATCAAGTTACTCATCCGGGCTCTCGAGACGTGGCGTCGTGACGCCCTTAGCGACATCGACATGGCAACCAATAGCCGTTACAACCCCGATTCAGCGACTTCTTGTTCATTGACGAGAGTTCTTTTCGCTCACTTGCTGCAATCCCGAGGAGACGCCACGTGTGGGACTGGTGAGCCATGCCGAAAGATGTGTAACTTCTTTGATTCATGTGCGTCACTTGGACTGGCTTGTATTGAATAGGCCCAAAACGTACTTTAAGAGAGTGCCTATGTTTCTATGTCTGGGTTATTTGACTCATGTGTTCTGAAGCGTCTGAAGTGTGCCGAAGGTCCGGTTGATTATAACGGATGAGTAATGCTGAGTCTAGACCAAACCTATGGCGCCTGGTTTGAGATGGCTGCGAGATTTGAAGACCTAGATTAGCTCTTTGAGCGAGAAGAGGCCTCGGGAGACAAATGGCATAGACTGCGGCAATGTTACAGGAACGACTCCGCAAGGAGTCTAATAGGATGCTTTCATAGCGTGGTTATTTACATGCAGCACTGCCGAATGTGGACTGATGGTGTCAATTGAGGGCTTCATGAACACAACGAACGTTAGAGTAGAACCAACAGGAGGCTATTAGAATATATGAAGGTCGTGTTCTGCTCCTAAGTGACAGCAAAGCCCCAAGCCGTATGACTGTTCAACGTGAGCAGGTTGATAAATCTGCATTGAAGGACGTTAATTTGTAAACTATGCTGTCGCCCTCGGAAGACGTTCCATCTTAGCTGTGTTAGTTTCCAGGCTACGTTATCAACGATCGCGGTGTTGGAATGTCGTCGTAGCGCAGAGTTTGTAACTCAATCTTCTACCTCGTCAACTTCGTGCAAGGCCGCACAATAATTCTGCATGCGGTTGTCTGCTAGAACACATGTGGCTCAACGGCAGCAATTCCAGGCTTAACTCCAAGTTCCCTCCAACCATGAACTGATGTTTGTGCTACCGCGCATCAGCCGCAGCACACCGTCCCCGCGCCGGTCCGCCTCCGCGGGATACTCCTAGCGCCCTGATGCGGGTCCGGTGGCGAGCTGCGCGTCCATTGGAGCTGCGTGTTTTCGCTGGCCCTAGATTATTTTCGTGATTCTACGGCTCTCGGGGGAAGGATCGTGGATAGCGTCGGGTCAACTTAGACTGCCCTCAACAACGCAATCTCATCGGCAGGCTAGGTGGCCTTGGAGGGGCCACCAGCGGGGGCGGCTCTGCTGCCTGTGCTCGGCGCCGAGCCGCCTTCCCGCTGCGCAGTCACCAAAATAACTTACACATAGTTCCCCTCCCCCCCGATATCGCTCTCACAGGCGGCGCGCCGGTCTTCGCAGCCCCATCGAGCGGTAACGGACGCTGCACGTACGACGCCGAGAGGAGAGCGTTATCCACATCGTTCACCGGTCTGGGCCCTTTTCATACGAGGACGCCCAGAAACATCGGAAGCGAAATATTCTGAGATAACTGTTGAGGCCATCTCCGACAGCTGGTAGCGAGGGGGACTCGAATCCACATGCTTCCCGGCCCCGGCCCGGTGGCCCGGAGGGTCGGTGAGCAGAGTTGAACAGGGCTGGGTGGGGGGCATGCATTTACGGGGCCACGATCATCCCGGGCCGGTGGCGAAATGGTAGAAGTGGTCGAATGATGATGACCGTCAAGGGCATCGGGCTGGCAGACGCAATGATGAAGTATGTGGAAGAGGAGACGGTTTTAAAGGGTCCGGTTGAAGTTGGAGAGAGTGAACCTGGTTTCGTAGCCGAAAACAGGACGAGAATCGCCTTCGTTCTTTTCTCTTTGATATTGATAAACCACGAGATGACAAGCCCGCCCGTTTACAAAGCCGACGAGCAGGTTCGACGACAACAAACATTGTTGGAACATTAACTCTTTAGTGCGGATCGAGGTGCAAGCAAAACGGCTCTTTCCATGTGCCCATGATGCCTCTAGTTTTCTTTTACCCAATCCGTACAGCGAATGTCTCAGAAGCGCATCGCAGGATATCAAATTGCCCCCTCTCGCTCTGATGATCTAGGGTCCTCGCCAAGCCTTCTATACGGGCGAAAGCGGGAGATTCCCAAAGACCCATGTCTCAATGGAACAAATTTGCGTCCCTTCGTCCCCCCAGGAGTGCTATACCCGTCTTACCCGCCAAGGGAGATAGTCGCCCTTGCCTTTTGTGCGGGTGTCTCACAGCACACAATGTCTCGTATCATCGAGAGGGAAGAACAACGGTAACGGCAGGTGGGAAAGACATGGTCCGTTGTTCTCCCCCCTCGACCCCGCCCCTTTCACGTTCCGCGCTGATGGCGTGGGAAGTCCTCGGCCGCGCTGCTTCCGGCCACTCGACGAATGCGGCTCGCGATCCCTCGACCGCCAAGACAAGGCTATCGAGATCCCGGCCGAGAGAAGTGTCGGCTAGGGACGTCCCCCTTTGGGCTCTTAAGCTCGCTGGCCTTGCGGTTCATGGGGTCTAGCGTGGCTTATACGGGCCTATGTCAGTCCACTAGCACACAAAACCACGAGTCCCGATCCAGCCATCGCCCGTCGTCCATCGGAAATCCCAGCGCCGTGGGCAGTCTAGGTTGGACTAGGCGGCACCACGGGCCATGAGATGCCAATGCCATGAGCCGCAAGCAACAGGCGTGCGGTGCTACGCCTGCCAGCCCGGCGAGATCGAGAGCCCAGACGAGTGCCTGTGACATCACCGAGGCGCCTGGAAGAGCACTTACGGACCACGATCCTCTGTCCTGCAATGGCCAATGGACCTCGTTGGCCCAGAATTCACCTTCACGGAGCCGTTAGGTTCGAGCAGACGCTCCTCTCCGTGTCCGTTCTAGGACGTCGAGCCAGTAGGCAAGGGTCCCCGCCTTCTGTGTCAACCCTCACTCGGCATGCTATCCCCCGATTGCAAGACGCGCGGAAATCCTCTCCTCCATCGCACCCATGCCTTGCCCACTTCCGGCGGGTGACGACCTGGACGCCGCCCATGAGCCACGACAGCCACTGCCGCGAGACGCTTGCGAGAATCTGGGCCCTGTGGCCGCTGCGGCGTGAGCCGGCGGCTTTTTGAAAGCCTCAAAGGCTGCTCGGTAGTTCCCTGTTGTTGAGAAATTGCGTCGAGCAGGCAAGCATATGTGAAAAGACGTTCTTGGGGGGGAACGCTGGGCTGCTGGAAGGACATAAAGAATTCGAACTGCCCGGATGGGGTTCAGACATTTGGATAGCATCCCACTCACACACACACGAGCATTTGCCCATTTCCAGACCCAAGACCCCCCACACGCTCCAAGGTCTTACACCCACCGGTCTCATCTTCACCATGCTCTGCTCTTCTCTCATCGTCGCGGGGCTCCTCGCCGCCTGCGCCTCGGCAGTCCCCGCCCCGGCCCCTCAGCGGTCAGCCAAGGTCCAGGCTTCCAAGGGCGTCTACACCATCCCCAACGTCGGGACGTTCCTCAACAGGCAGACCTGGGACTTTAGCAAGCTCGCAGACGGTTCCAGCATCCCCGACGGCCTGTGGGTGAGCAACTACCAAGTCGGCGACTCCTACACCTTCGTCCCGCAGAACTCGTACATCTCGGGTGGCTACCTCAACCTCAAGGTCGACGGCGGCCAGAAGTCCAAGCCATACAGGTCCGGCGAGGTCACCACCACCGCGACAAACATTAAGTACGCCTCTGTCCGGACCGTCGCCATCTTCGCCGAGCCTGCTGGCGTTTGCAACGGTAAGAACGCTCCCCCCCAGCCCCCTCTTGGGCACCATTTGAACGTCCAGTAACTGAGACACCCCGCGTAGGCATGTTCTTCTACCGGAGTGACAACCAGGAGACAGACATTGAGTGGCTGTCGGATTCGGCATCAAAGAGCAACAACGGCAAGCGCCAGCTATGGTTTGCGAACCAGGCCTCCAACTCGAAGACCCAGAAGTCGGTCAAGAGCGTGACTCCGCCCGCGAACCCAACGTCCACCGAGCACGAGTACCGCCTCGACTGGGTGGCCGGCGCCGTCCGCTTCTTTGTCGACGGCGTCCAGATCTGGGAGAGCAAGCAGAACGTCCCCAACCTCCCCGGGCCCTGGGTCTTCAACAACTGGGCCGACGGCGACAAGGGCTGGAGTGCTGGCCCTCCGGCGACAAACGCCATCTTCAGGATCAAGTCGATCGACATGTACTACAACACCGCGTAGGGCGGATGATGGGAAGGGTCCTGTGCAACTTTTGCAATGACGATTTTGACGGTTCTTGGGACATATTAAACAAAACGAGGGACATAATCATGAAGCAAGGGGTCTTGGCACGGGTTTAAAGAAAAGGACATAATGACTAATGGGGGGAAAGGGGCAACACTCATGAGGTCAGGGTGGTAAATTCTTATGATAACGAAACCAAATGAACAAATTTAATCAACAGACCGGGCAATATCATGGTCACAAGTGAACCGTCAATAACCTTACCCGGGATGCCATGTGGCGAGGAAACGGGCAAAGTCACGAGAACGCACAACTTGCCAAGAGTAACAAATACCCATAGCAGCGGGATTACGAAATCCGCGCATGTCATCACTGGCCGTAGCCGTTGCCGCACCGATCCAGCATCCGGCCAGGAGAGCGATCTGCCCTTCCGCGGAGCGGAAACACCGAGACGGTACTCAGCCGCTCAGCCGCTGTCAGGAAGGATAAAAAAAATCTGTGAAGAATTCAGGGTCCCCACGATCTCACGATATGGATGGACCCCGGATGCGTGGAAAAGGTTAGCGGCTTGAGGATCACCCCATGCGGAGACAGGGGGGACGAGCTTCTTGCGGTTGGGTTCGTCCGCTCCGCAGGCATCCGCTCCCGCGCGCTCCATAGATAAGACAGCCGCTCCTGCGAACCAGAGATCGTCCTTGCCTACGCCCGCTTCAGAGGACGTTACGGTCGTTGCCCGAGGAGCCTTTTCCGAAGCGCCTTAAGCCCCCAGTATCCGCGGACGAGAAAGGCTGTCGAGCCTCATGGGGGAAAGCTTCGGGGCGGGGCAGGGTAATAGCTCCGAGTCTGGAGTCCAGAGTTTTCAAGCGTCGGTGGCATGTCCGACGACCGGTGGCCGTTTGGCCTGTCTTTTCGTTGGTTTCGCGTATCCGCCAGCAAACCTCCTCTCCGCCGGTCGTTAATTAAACAAGACGCTCTGGCCACGGGGCTCGGCGGGGGACCACCATCCTTGAGACAGGCAGACTTTGGCTGCGACTCACGAAGCTGTGAGAGGCTCAAATGTCGTTATCTTGCATGATCTCCCCCTGGTCTAGATGGCGCCTAAAGGGTCTGGGTGCCTGCTGTGGAGGGGGGGACCCCACCTGTGGGGTGGGCAAGCAATCCCGAAAGTATCCGACTCTGGATGCTCGGTTCTTGGATGTGATGCAACATTTGGCGTGCGTGGGAAGGGAAGCCGAAGCGATTGGGCCTGGCCAAGAGGTTGCTGGTTTTCGAAGCAGAATTTTCCGTCGATGCTCGGTTCAGCTTCAGGTTGTAAGCGGACAGACCAACCCGTCAGCCCAGCCCCTCCCGTACGATGGCCAATGACAAGCTCTCATCCAACTGCCCGCGAGTTGGCCTTTCGGTGACCAATTTCCAGAAACAGCTCTCGGCGCCTAGGCGTCGAAGGCAAGCACTCAAGGTGAAGGGGGACTTTATCAAATCGGCCCTCGCTCACCTTGATGGTGTGTGTGTGCCTGAGATACGACATCGCATATGCCGAGCGTGGGTGTTCCACGCCGGGCTTGTCCCAAGTATGAGTTGGAACTGGATGTATGTCGTTCGCGACGAAGCAAGAGAGGGGTCGCAAGCGTGGGGTGAAAGTTTGTAGCGTGCATGTTCTAACCGTGCCGTTGTCGGACAGAATAGGCATGCCGACAGGGCATGCCATTTGCAACGTGCTGTGCCGTTGTCTGTCAATGTCGTTCTCCCAGCCGGCCGAATGGGTGGAATCCTGATTCCTTTGGGGCATGGAAGCTTGGGTGCGTCGACGTAACCCTCCTATGCCAAGCTTGTGGGAAGGAGACTTTGGAGTCGCCAACCAGAGCCGTGCCATGAGACGGCGAGACCCCCACGCGGGACAAAGGTTGGTTGAGGGAGTGCATCTCGGCCGGACGCAGCTCCCACTGGGAACCATGGCTCTGAAGCTATCCATGTCGGCTCCTATCAGTTGTAGCAATCACAGGTCGACACGCCGACACACAAACGTCGCTCGACAGTGTTGGCCAGCCAGTATGGAAAATATGACGAAAGAAGGCCAATGGCGGGAATGCGGGAGTCTCAGTGGATGGCAAATCGGTGGTGTTGACGCAGCTGTCTTTAAAAAAAGTGTCACGGCAATATGCGTTACCTTCTCAGAGTGGCAAGTGGCCGCGAGGTGTTGATTGCACGACAGCAAGCCCAAATGCATCGTGTCTGCGAGTTGAGTTGCAGGCGACTCGATTTGGCATTCGAGCACGAACCGACGCCATACATATTGTGCTTGACGGAGGTGACCGTTTGTAGCTCAAGGATGCGCTGATGGCGTTTCTCTAGATGCGGTCGATAGGAACCGCCCAACAGCTGCCGGCCACGCCAGCCGAGCTCTCGCAACCGACGAGGGGTTGCCTGCATAGAGTCTTTTTCTTTTGCCTGGTCCAATGCTTGATGCTCGTCTGAGAAGTGACAGGCAACGAGTGATGATGGCGTGCACTTGGTGATCACTGTGATGGCTTGGGGGGGGGGGGGGGGGGGGGGGGGGGGGGGGCGAGCGGCAGTTGTGTTCGACAGCACGGTATACCCGCATTATAGGAGTGATACCTACAACTGCAAACACTGGCAGAACCACTGATTGACGCGGAAGGCCGTTTCGTGTGATGCAGGACGATTCCTATCCACTGGGCCTAGGTAGCACCAGACGTGTGCTGGGCATGGTCTAGACCGGGGGGATCGCCAATGTAGCGGCGGCCATCTCTTGGTGAACCGCTTAGGTCAACGGTGATGGACTTAGCGTGCATAAGCATGAGAACGTTTGTTGCGTGGACCGGGGCATGAGAGGCCGCGATTGTTTGGACCGCACTGTCCAGCTGCTTGTGTCAATGCAGACGGCTTTGACGAATGTTGTTCTGGCGGAAACGGTCGCGGTTGATGTGGGCTTTTGCGGTGACGGTTCACGTTGCAGAGAGACGGGCTAGACACGGCGAGGGAGGCTTGCAAGATGGAGCCCGTGTCGGGATGCTGCGTTCCATTGTACCCGTACCAAGCAGACGTCTCTTGACGGGTGAGGTTCAAGTCTTGAATAATGGAATGCTCTCGGGCGGCAGGGTATGGGACGAGAAACTTACGATAGCCCCAATCAGGTATCTGTCGGTTCCTGAGGGGGAGCTCCCCCAGCATGTCCACATGGCAGTAGTCGCAAGCCTGTAACAAGCGCTAGCTGCTCAATCATGCCTCGTACCCCATGTGCTTCCCACAACCTTACAAGCAAGGGAGAGAGCCGCCTGTCAACCGCCGTCCAGTCAACCAGCGACTTGGCATTGGGGAAAGGGGAGAAGGGTTACAGAGAGAAATTTTCCGCCGGCCGCCTCCCCGATGTCTGGATCGCCTTGCCCCCGCCCACAGAGCAAGGGAAGGCACGGCGTGGTGCTTGGCTCTGAACATGTATGTAATGGAAATGGCAGCGGCTCCTCTGGTCAAACGTGATGGAAACACGTGCTCTGCGACGGAAGGCGTCGTTCACGCTGTTCCGTCTCAACGTGGATGAAGCAACGGCTGTGGTAGGTGGTTACTACACTGGGTCCTCGACTAACGAGGCACCGGGAGCAGCGTGGGAGGCAAGGGTAAGGAGGTACCTACTATGTATTACATGCCAAAACAGACTCGGTTGGGGGCCTGGGCTCCGGTTAATTACTGAGAGACTGAATCGACTGATGGACGCAATGAAGAAGCTCTCTCCTTGCAGAAACGGAACCGGGAGAGAAGGAAACAAGCGGATACCGTTTCCCTTGGGGCTCCGGGGGGCTGTGTCGTGTCGTTCTCAGCATTGTGAGAGAAGCCCACTTTCTCACGAGGATTATGTAGGTCTTTCTTCGCTCGGCTCAAGTCGTTCAGGGATTCGAGAGAGTCTGGAATGTTGGAAATCCTGCCCCTTTCCACAAAATATTCCAATTTTTGAGTTTTTCTTTCCATCCCTCCGCACCGAACCTGTGTTGCTCACGGTCGTGGGTGGGTATGTTGTTCCTGAAAAGAAAAAAACCGGAGCCATAGTTTTGCGGCGGGCGGCGTGCGGCTGGTCGGAGAGAGGTCCTCGGATCCACGGGCTTCTCCACGGGTCGCAGGGCGTCGAAAGGAAAACCTATTGTACTATGTAGAGAGCTAGAGGGGGAAAAAAGGTGTGGGACGACGCCATGGGAACATGGCTCCGGACCGGGCAAGCTCGCAACGCCGCCGTTCGGGAGCATAACGCCTCCAGGGGGGGCTCGGGGCGTCTCTCACTTTCAGCTGTCTCTTCCTTTTGGTGTGCTTGGTGTGGGGCTCTTTTCGAGAAACAGCGACTGGGCTTACGGTGGCCCTGAGGCTCTACATTAGGTATACCGGTAGTACTCTCCATCGCTCGCTGGGACGCGGGACGTGGGACTCCCGGGGCTGCTAGCCAGAGGTCTATAGTGGTTGCCTCCAAGTGCTAACACCATGCCATGGTAACAGTTGCGCCTCTGGGTGGGGTTCGTTTCGAACTCTGTGCCGTCTTCTGGGACGGATGGGTTTCCTCCAGGGCCGCCCCATTCGTGGGGAAACGTGCTCAGGGCAGTGGATGAGGTGATGTGAGAGCAGTCTAGGTTGTAAACCACAGAAGACTGGGGCTCTTCTTGTCCGTAGCAGCCGCAACCGCCTACGCCGCACATCTCGGCACAGCAGAAGCCAGACGCCCGGATGTCTCTTGCAATCCTTACCGGGGTTACCGCTGAGCTGGCTGGCTGGCTGGCTGGCTGGCGGCCCTCGTGCGCGTTCCATTAGACCCGACTCGACGACGCAAGACCTGGAAGAGGAAAAAAAAACCGTAGCAAGACAAGTCGAGCCGTGGTGGAGTCTCGCGGACACACAGAGCGAGTGTTTGGCAACCGTCTGTTGTTGCCAATGTTGTGCCATTTGAGCATAATTGCAACATCTGGTGATCCCAGGGACGTGCCGAAAGTATAATAATA